AGAATTTAAGGAAAACTGATTGAGTAGAGTGGATTCCACGGAAAATCATACTGAATTTTGAGCAAGAGGCTAAGATTATTGATAGCATCAAAAGACTGCTGTGCTACAACTTCATGAATATTAGAAGGAAAAGTTTAGCCTTTTCCATTGAAAAGGACAAGAATGAAAAACTACCTATTGCTGGATTCATGCGACCTGGTTTGAAAAGACAATTAAGCAAAATGAAGAAGTGTAAGCTTAACAGACATTGAGTTAGATGCCGTACCATTTCTCTCAATTTCCACTTTAATAATAAAACCGAAGAAAATTCTCACAGCCGGTAGAGCAGCTGTCTTGCAGTCGTAAATTTGTGGGTCCAATTCCAGCTTCCTTATGTCACATATCGGCCAGGTTACCAAACCAATCTTCCGATTGGCGTGTTTATGAGTGAATGTGTCTCTTAGTTGGTCTGAACAGAGTAGTGCTATATAAATTCACTTATGCCATTAAAAATAGATGGTTGGAGAAGTAATTTGAGCAAATGTCCAACACTGAATGCATCCAGTTTTAAGGTTAGGCAAATGTATTTATATTGCACACTTTCAGCAACAATGTGAAAATGTGCTGAAAATTTTCAACACTTTGAACTGCTTTACTTTGAACAGGCAAAGCAGTTCAAAGTGCTTTACATGAATTAGAAGGAAATACAAAGAAAACAGCAAACCAAAAGAAAGACAAAAAGGTAAAAGCATAAAACTACATATTGGTTCCTCGTGTTTAATAAGAATAAGCAGTCCAAGTTTTATAAATTAGTCTGGGTTTCTCTAGATTCATGTTCTGACAAAACTAGATGTTGGTTTTAAATGGGCAAAAAGTGAAGTTATTTTATACCCACATTTTGTTAAAACACCAGGGTTCTCTTTCCAAAAAATTATTTTAATTAAATATCCCTGCCCCGTGACTCAGCTACAGTCCAGGGGTAAAAAAAATAAAACATAAAAAAAACATACAAGGGGGATATTAAACCAGGCCACTGGGCCTGGCACTTATGAAACAGCCCATTACTCTACGATAATTGTCACCAATACTGTCACGCATTTGTCTACCCTGTTCTCAGTATTCACACATGATATAAATTTAACTGTCACATCAATCAGAGGCCTCAATTAATTGTGCAATTAAGATTCTCATTGCATGGCAGATACAGCTACTAATGGATCAGAGACAAGTGTGATACGATCATAAAGAGGGAATTTTAATGCAGTGCTTAATTGCTCTTATGCGGCCGTCAGTGTTCCAGCTGAGGCTATATGAGACCATATCTTCTCCGGGCCTATTGGAAATGAAATATTCTGCTCATGTAGGGCCATGGAGCGATGTAAGGGCAGTTATGGACAATCTTATTACACCACCCAAAGCATGCGTAGTTAATCGGTGCCAGATTGCTGAGTGCAATTTTCACATGGAGCACATTAGCATGTTTAAAATATGCTCAGGATATGATTGGATATAAACTTCTGTGTGAGTGTGGGAAGTGAAATAATAATCTGGCGCCACAACAGTTGTTGCTGACGCAGCACCAACAACTGCTATTTTAAGGATAATTACACCCCAGGCTGGGTTCAGATTTGCTCACCGGAAGAGATGTTGAAGATTTGCCCAAAATTTTCCAAACTCATCGTTTTTATTTCTGATGACTAATACATACATACGCTCTGCTTTTGTTTTGGGTGTGTCTGGCACACAGAGAGAGTGGAGAATAAATGTGGAGGCTTTTAACTAGTAAAGAGGTGGAGAAAGGGGCAATTCTTGTAATATTTGATATCTCCTTTTGCTCAGAAAAACATGGCTTCTGACATTACAAAGCTGGAAGATTAATCTTCACAATACGGAGCAAACAATGAATATAGCAAAAAGGACAATTGTTGCAAGCTGGGAGATTAATGCCAACAGCATAAAACATCTATTGGAAATGCCATGGTACAGTTCAGTGTTATGGATCTGTTAGATTCTCAGTGTGATGCTGCATATGAAAGTTTAACTGTTTGTGGACCTCTGACATCTTAGGAAATAATCTTTATAGCCTCACAAATTCAGGGGCGATATACATTGTACACTGAGTGTATTCTGGGATTAAGAATGTGGAATTCACAGTCGTAAAATATTATGCCATAAGATATATATATATATATATATATATATATATATATATATATATATATATATATATATATAATATATATATATATATATATATATAATATATATATATATATATTACTTCTGCATAAGCTGTTTGGGGTAAACTGTCAATATAGGAATAAAAGCTCAGTGCAAGAACACCTGCAAGAGGTCAAGTAACTATTAGCTGAATTAGACAAAAGGAGCCACTTTATTCAACATGCACACCTAACAAGATCTTAGTGTCAGAGAGTCAAAATAGCTTAGCGTTAGAATAGTAACATTATTTTGCATTGAATGCACTGATCTGTAGCAATGGTCATTTGAAGTGTACATAAGGCGTCACAAACGTGTCATATTAATGCTGCATAATTTTTAGCCGGACCCAAAAAGGCGATATTGGAGGGTTGCTTCTTTTAAGCTGCATATCCTGCTGCATATTTATCATTTAAATGTAAGGAAGATATGCAATAGTGTGGTGGCGGTATAAGTTAATAAACTCATTTGGATTCTATTTAACCTTATGGTTGATGGATTCGATTTTGAAGAAGTTGATGAGATCAGCGCTGAGTAAAGGTTAAAGCTTGCTAATATTATTGTATAGGTTGTAATTTATCTATATGAAAATATTTGTTGATATCCTTGGACTGCAGAGTGGAAAATGACAGACTGCAGAAACCACAAAGGGCAATGCCCTATTTTGCTCAATTAACATTTAACCTTTTCTCTTCCCTGAAAGTACATGTTTATTGAAAGCTATTGAGAGCTGTTGCTGTTGCCTCCGAAAGCATGTCAAAACACACTCTGACCGTGTTAATTAAGGATGCGATGCAAACATACTGGGAGAATAAATTAATTCCCCAGGGAGATGTTGTAGTAAACGTGTAATGGAACAGCCAAACAAAAGGGGATGTGTGGGATTTATGACAAACATCAAACATCAGTGGGAAAATGTCAACCACACAAAAAGGCCTGCTTTTTACTGCTGTTAACCCATATGTCTGTGCGTGTGGGTGTGTGTACTCATTTAGCTAATCTATTCAAGACCTTCTCTAGCATTTTCACTAACTTTCTAAATAAATACGGCCAAAGCTTGGCCCTAATGCAGCGGAATACCTTCTGTGGTTTATTGGTTAGGTCTGCAGGTATGGTGTGAATCACGTTTGGGTTAAGTTAGGGTTAAGGCATATACTGGCAGTGGTGTGTGAGTGCATGTGTGTGTGTGTGGGTAGTCTTGTATTTGGTACATTGTAAGGCCCATCATTCCAACAAGCGCCATGTTGTGAAGACCCCTCCTCCAAGGGTCCCATAAATAGACGTGTTGCTTTTGGGTTAGGGGTTAGTCTGAATTGAGTTCAGGTTAAATTTAGGATTAATCCTGTACTGGTCCTGGTTAGTTTTAAGGTTAGGCTATGGAAATTAGTAGAAAATGTATGGAAGTCAACAAAAAGTCCCTGTGAAGACAGAAAGACATATTGTGTGTGTGCGAATGTGTGAGTGTGTATATCATTCAAACCGCAATTCAAAAACATCATTAGCTTGTCACTGAGGCAATTGGATGAATGACAGCCACTAAACATCTTACATTCATGTGGATCTGGGCGACTGATCGGTAGAATATACACATGCAAACACACATTCATCTATCCACAATTTCTGGGACAGGAGGTAATTACCCGCTATGCTTTTCCATCATGCTTTATTAGTAATCTCTGTCACAGTCAAAACATCAACCTCCTCATAAAATTTTTTTTTACCAGAAAGAAAAAAATATATATAATTTCTGTGATACTGGTACTGAAAAAGAAATGACGGCTCTAAGTCAAAACAAATATTACGAGTAAAAAAAAAACAAAAAAAAACTTAATTTCAGCAGAAAATGGTCCACTAAAAATTCATACTTACTGTCATGCTGGTCAAAATATTAATGATAAAAACATTTTCTGAGAAGTGAACAAAATCCAGCCTACAATATCTACTACATTACTAATGATTTGAAGACACAGTTGCCACAGCATTTTAGTCACTCCTGCAGCATTTGTCAGGTACTGTCAAGAACCATTACGTGAATTAGTTTGGTCCATATAAAATTAAAGAAATATGTGTTTTGGAAAGCAACAGAGAGGAAGCCATTAGGAACCGCTAAAAGACAGAAAATTTAACATTGGTAGCATAACGAATACGAATGAGGCAATATGGCTCTTTCTTCATAAAACAAAAGTCTGAAATGTATAGACTCAGGCTGCATTTATTTAGTAAAACATGCCTCCAGTGTTCAGCAATGTACAGTTTTAACAGCTTCTTTGGCAGGGTTAGGAGCCTGGATGCCAGGCTGAGGTTTATGGGAAGAAGTGAGGTTGGCATAAAGGGCTCCCTGGTCTGCTGATGCGCTGTGAAGCCCACACCTGCTGTCAGAGACACTGAGAGCAGGCTGGATGAGGGCAGCAGCCCTGCCATCTGTTTCAAGACAGCCAAAGTCACCCTGTGTACAGGCGCTGGTGTCTGTGTCTGCGTCTCTGTGCTTGTTTAATGTATATGAATGTAACTGAAGGTGTATTTTTGGTGCACACTAAAGTCTGTCTTTTACCATCAATGTCTGGACTCTATTGTGTTCTGAGTTTACTCTCAGGAAAAAGATGCCACAACCTCTTTTAGTATTATTATTTTACGTAACGCATTAAAAAATTCCAGAACTTTTTCTGCATTTAGCAGCAGCATATAGCTTTTATAAAATATTTTTTCCGTCACTTTTGTTAAAACTGTCCCTACGTCATGACAGAATAATGTGAGACAGATGACCTGCCTTCTTGCTCTGTCAGAAAAAACAGAGTGGTACTGACCACTTCTCGTGGCAGAAGTGGGTCCTCCTGACGAAGCACCAACAGGTTCACCATCCCGTCCATAGGTGCAGCTCGAAGCAGGGCTACCACTTCCTCCTGGCTCTTTCCATTCAGGTCTATTCCACTAACCTGCACAACATGTCCAACAGTCACTAACATGACCCAGGCTTTACAAACACAGCAGGAACCTGAACCGTGGTGTTACTCAGATGAGAAAATCTGAGTATTGTTCTAACTGATGATATCCGAAAGAGAGCTGGAGTATAAATGCATAAGTCACGGACAATTAGTGTTTTAACACTCTACAAACTCTGCAAAAAGGTTGGAGATTGGTTGTAAGGCCTGCTTTACCTCCAACAGCCGGTCTCCAGCTTTCAGTCGTCCATCTTGGATGGCAGCGCCTCGAGGGAGGATGTTTTTGATGTAAATGGGTGCACTTCCTCCAATAGGGACGTCTCTGGAGGTGATACTGAACCCGAGACCCTCTGGACCTAGTCAGATAGAGAAAAAAAATAACACAGAAACATGATAAAAAACATGAAAATGGACAATATGTTTTAGGGATACACAATATGTCGGCACTAACATAAGTATTGGTCAGTATGACTTATTTTTTTAACATCAGTTGATATTGTATTGATATTTGTTTCCTGCTGTTCATTTCCATCTTGTTATGTTTTGCTTCTTGGGGGCCAAGGTTTTATCATGTGATATTTGCTTTGTCATGTGACAGTGATGTAGCGCAGAATTGTGGGGAGACTAACTAAAGGCAGTCGAGAAGCCAGTGGTGTGGCTGCGTTTTTTTCAAGATATTGAAAGAGTAGGGAAATATTCATGATATTAGTAATATCGGATATTGATATTAGATATTAGACTGAAATAATCAACTGAACTTGATACATTGTTTAAAAGCTAGAATCAATTTGGAATGTATGCAACTTGACTTGAAATCTACTGGTGGCCTCAACATGTATTGTGATTTGACTCTATGAGTCATAGAAATGGAATTGAATAAATCAATTTTGATCCATAAGGTAATAAGAATGGAAGGTTCTTCAGGTTTGTTGGAATTTTTTTTCCTTGGTAAAAAAAAAAAAAAAAAGCACTGATTGAATTTACTCAAGCCTTCTGATAAACGTTTAATTGGTGATCTGAACATTTTATTTTCACAGCAACTTGTGTATTTAGGTTTACAGGCTAGCCTTTAAAATTTGTTAAACGTACATACATATTCAGTCTGGAAAAAAAGGGGACATAAATACATAAAATCTCTCTCTGGTCTCAATTCAAGCTCAATCTTGATTAATCAGTCAGTGTGATCAGAGAGACGGTTAGAAGTCCCTAAAGACCAACCTTGCTGTGTATTTCTGGCAGTCTGGATGGCAAGTTGTGTTACGTTGGTTCAGTCGAGGCTTTTCAAACAGCAGTGATTAGTATTCATGTCAAACTAGCTGCTCATTTCAGAGAGCTGTCAGCACCTCTGATAGTTCATCATGACCTACTTTCCCCCCCATGTGTCTCTCCGGCAGTCTGTCGATCTGTCTGTCAGCCTGCTGACAGTGATGAGGTGATGAACAAGGAACACCAGGAGAAACAAACGAGGACGGCAACTTTCCTCCCGACTCCTTCACGCAAACAAACTTGCAGAAGGGTAAAGAGATTGCTTATGGGGTTGGAAAGTTGAGCTGTTGAGGATAATGACGCTCTCTGATCTCCCCATCAGTGTGTCGTGATAACTGAGCAGACCAAAATAGCTGTCATTATTTATGCTGAGCATCAAATATGCAGTTTGTCTTCATGGCTGCTCAACTTTTAGTACAAGGTCACAAAGTTACACTGAGAACTTTGTCTCATTAGGGACATTTTTCAGGACTTAAAAGAAAAGCAAATAAGTGCAGCTTTTTTGTTTTTTTATTTTGGAACAAAAAAGGTGATGTGGTTTCAAATATTTCACTCTGTTGCTGGAATTATCGGATATGCATATCTTTACAGTGGAATGCTTATATAGCACACAGACCAAGAAACAGCCAGAACGCTGGTGTCACCATGCACCATGCAAAGCGGGTTGAACAAAGGATGTCAAGTCAACATGCACAAAACGAGCAGATAACAAAAACAATGGCGGACAGCGTTGTGCTGAGTTGTTCAACTTAGCACATTTTCTGATAAGGAGTTTATGTGTTACCATGTGACATGGTTTTCTGTTTAAAATTAGGTCAAAGCAAAGGGTCAAAAGCGAAAACATGTTCAACTAGATGCTAAAATCACAGTGTCATCTAGTGGCCTGGCATGACAACTACAGTGTGTGACTGGCACCATCTTTGTAAAAGTTATTAAACTTTTCCCCAATTAGTCTGGTCTACTCTCTTACTTGTTAGCTTAATGCGGAAGCTGCATTTCAATCCTGCCTTAAATTATTTTCTAAAAAGGGTCAAATTGAAAGAAAAAAACCCAATATTAACAACACTCTTGTTGACAGTGAGTGTCTGGAAACTTCTTTCTTCTTTTCAAACTTCAACATGAAATTCTTTGTTGTGATTTTTGTACTCTAATCCTCCACGTTCCTACTTCCTCCCAGTCCAAGATGCAGCTTAATGAACAGAATCAAACTCCTGTCTCCATCAGTAGATACTGTCATTAATGGCCCAATCAGGCAATTAGGAGAATACATCACTAATAGGCCTTCAGTAATTAACCACTGATGTCTTTATTTTTGGGTAATAGAAGACCAGGATAAAAGTAATTGTATCCCTTTCTAGATTAGTTAGAAATCCTGGCTCCAATAAGCCAATTAAACAGCAAACAGGAGGAGAGGCTGGGGGACATGACAACGACTTAATGGGCTGCGTATGTTGTTTTCAACAGAAGTATTTGATTAGGGCACTCTTGTTAATGTGCCATTCAAGATCTGCTCCTGCCACTTGGAACTCGGAGACACTTAGGCTGAATCACAACAATTACATCGAGTCAACAACAAAACTGCCACGGCCCCATCTGAAAGCACATTAGCAGAGAGAAACTCTGGTGGTAATTAAATGGAGATGTCAAAATGATTTCTGGGCATGTTTGTACAATTTTTTTTCTGATACAACAACATGTTGGCTCGAATTTGTTTTATGTTTTGCTTTTGGACGCAGCAGTGAGTTTACAGTGGAGGCAGTTCGACTCAGTGAAGTCCTGAATAAATAAACTATAATTTAAGTTTGGTATTTATAGGGTTGCTAAAAATAGACCGGTGCTGTTTCACCGCTGCGCCCCTTATCTGCTTAAATCACATGTATTTTTGTGGGGAAAAAAGGCAGAGAAACTTTAGGATGTTAAAAACAACAAGAGCGTTCGCCAATGAACTGGGCTGGCAGGAGTCCGAAATCCTTGCCAAACATATTAGAGTAGCTTGCAACTTCATTTCCCTTGAGTTTGCCCCATTTATCTGCCTCTGTTGCCCTCACTGCTGAGCAATTCCCTGAAGCTCACTGCACTCCAGACTCTACCAGCTTTCAGCTACGCATCTGCTCATTACGGCCAACATGCAGAGAAGCAAAGAGGAGCTAGAGCATGCCACCTCAACACCAGTTCGCTTAAAGCCGAGGTTGATCAAATGGAATTGATCAGCCTCAGACAACAGTTAACTATTAGTTAGCCGTAATAGCTTAATAGCTAACCACTACAGATTGGTATGTAGTCTATCAATGTGTGCAATGTAACAATTTGGAGGTACTGAACTAAAACCAAGCACTTTTATCCAGTCATTCAGTCAGATCTTACCTTTCTTTAGCTGGATGTTGAAGCTGCGTCCTTTTTTCATTAGGTAGGAGCTGTTGGACGGAGTAGTGCTTATCCTGCGCTGCAGGGAGGGGGAAGGCGCTGAGGGGGTCCTGGAGATTATGGGGTGAGGTACGGCATGGGGTAAGGTCGCATACCGGCGACTTGGTTCTGGGGTGCTTCCTGCCAGAGGACCTTGGTGGCTGCAGAAGGAACACAGAGTTTATTTCTGTCTGTGAAAACCATTAAACAATTTCTAGTGAATTATTGATCAAAGGAAAGGAAAACTTTTCAACAAAGATGTGGGAAACAAAGGTGATGAGGCTAATGTTCACGTTTCTGTTTTAGTTGCGATTGACATGTTTCCATTGCATAACGCCTATCTTGTAAAATATTTAGATGTAGAACCAGATTTAACAGCTTTCATCGGAAATAAATGAATAATTAGTTCATACATTTTAAATGAGTGGCTTGGGTGTATCAATTAATTATATTTAGAATTTCTTGAAATGCATTTTCTTTATTCGAAACAGAAAATTGGACTGTGAGGTGTTCTGCTTTGAACTGCAGTTGTCTCAGCAGTTTTTTCTTTTATTTTTCTGTTTGTTTCTATGATTGATCCTCTGCAGTGTTTGTACACCTGCTACTTTATTCTATGCTTCACTTATTAAATGGTCAGAAACAAATACCAGCATCTTTGTGATCCCTTTTGATCACGAAAACACAGAAAACAATTATTTTGCGTGCAATAACGTAGGACGCCATTGATTTCCCTGTATAAAGCAGAACCAGATGACCCAAAGTTTAAAGTGCTTCTGATCAAAGTACCAAAAAGTGAAGCGTTTAACAGTATTAACTTAACCTGCTATAATGTTCTTGCTTTGTACAGCATTTTACTTTTATATCAGACAGTGACTCCAAACAGAAACACAACGCGTGATTTGGTTCCACCATGTTTCTCATGTGTATAATCATCAACTTCTCAGAAAATGACCGTCAACTGACCATAAAATGAAAATGTTATGACAATTAAATGATTCATTAAACACAGTTTGTCTAAAGCGGAGAAGCATTTCTGAGATCGGAGCCATTAGCGTCAGCCTCCGGGACAGGCTGGACCTGGATTTACACTAAAATGAAAACGTTGAGAGAGTTAATGGCTGCTGGGAAAATATTAAGCACATTTAACCCCATATAAAATTCTGAACTAGTCTTTCAACAAGATGTCTTGGGTTAAAAACATGACTTTCTGTTATAACATAGCACATTTTAACTTTAATGGATTTGGTATTAAGACATTATTGGACAGTCAATAACTGTCGCAATGAAATCTGCGATAATTCATTGCAATTAGATCAACAGAAAGTGTATTGAACATTTTTTATAAGAGTTTTGTATTTAATTCCATTCTGGGTGTCACACTTATGAATACTGAATTAAGTGTAAGACTCACTCGTGGTTGACGGCCTCTTGTTGCCTAGATCTGGACGGCGTCCCTGCATCCAGACTGGACAGGTCCCCTGGATGCTGGGAGTCTTGGCTGAAGCGGACCCTGGTTGACTGGGGTGAACTGAGCTCGTTCTGGACTGCAAGTATTTCATAGTGTCTCTTCATAGAGGCAGGAACCACATGGAAAAGAATGACCGGGCAACGCATCGCCTGCCTGAAAATGTTCTGAGCTCTGGAAGAAGAGGAAGACAGAAATACATCAACTTTAACATGATAGGTGGTACTATCATGGGCTTTGCTGATAAATAGAAATATACAGAGAAAGCTGCAGTGTGTTGTATGTTGAAGAGTGATGCAGAAAGATGAAAGTAGCACAGCTAATCACGGGGGGAACTTTTATAAAGCGATAGAAGACAGACATTACATTATCTGTAATAACCAGCATCAGCACATGCTGGGTGAAGAGTGCATCAGTGATGAATGATTACCCAGAATTCCCTCTGCTCAAAGTTCACTCGAATGAGAGTTCCACTTTGTCATCTGCGTGAGTCTCTGAGTTGAGAGGACACGCATTGGCTCAACAAACTGAGCAGAGAAGATGAATTTTGCACGGCGGAGGATGTGCAGAAAATAAAACCACCAAGCGAGCAAAGCACAAATTGTTCTTTCCAAACAAAATATAACAATAAAAGCACACAGGTGGACAGAAAGCAGGATCAGTGAGATAAATAAGCTTAAACATTTTTTGCACATCATGCACCTACCATCGTTTGAGTTAACCTATGGTGACCGTAGCCATAGTGAGTCAGTAGAAATGAACATTGTCTGGTCAAACAAATTCACACTTACCCAAACCAGATGCCAAAAAAAAAAGAAAAAAAGCCAGCTAGCTAAAAGGGTAACAAGAGTATATTAGCAACTATGGAGACTAAATGCCATGACAAAACTTCAGCCCAATGATTTACACATTTGAGGTCAACTAACATTTTTAGAAAATAAATGAAAGTCATTTTAAGGCTTTCATTTTAGATATATGCAATTAAGACTTTTCAAGGACAAGACGTCACCCTGTGTATTCACAGGCCTTTATGGAAGAGGGGTAAGAGTCAAGACTGCTGAAATAGAGCAAAAACCTCACTTTTAAAGAGACAAAGCAAGCAAAAAGCAATAAATTACTCACTAAATCAAAATTTTTCATTCCACTTTGACAAATAATACATTTTATATTTGGTTTAGGTTGTCATGTTTTGTTTTGGGTATTTAAAATGTCTTCCTCTACCAGAGTCAAGTGTTCTCTACAAAATTACAATATATTGCTGTTGAAGGGGGAAACTTGTATTATTATATGATTATCAATATATATTACTTGCCAGTAATCTAAAAAAAACAATATTACTGTTTATAGCAATAATTAGTGGGGAAATCATGCAGCAAAACTTCTATATACGGCATACTTCTGATTTCTATGTGTAGAAAAAAAATGGAATGTATAATTGAATTTCGTGTTCTAAACTTTTGTGTGTGTATATCACAAAAAATTCTATGATTCAAAAACTGAATGATGAGTTATTTTACATTTGTAAAATTCAACTTCTGTAGATGGGTGGATGGTTTATTGGAATAACTGTGTAAAGTTCATTTGATTTGTTTGTACTTTTAAAAATAAAAAGTAGTTGGCTTGCATTGGGAAAGTTGTTGGCTCAATTCCAGGTTTCGCCATGTCGCAGACAGATGTTCCCCTTCAGGCAAGAGACACTTAACTTGATGCCTACTGATTTGTGTATGAGTTTATGAAAATTATGCTTACTGTAAAAACATTTTCAGTGGTCGATGCGACTAGAAAAGCTCTATTTAACAATCTGTTTACCATTTTAAATAAACAGAAGTTTCAGGTTACAGCGTCATAAAACACAAAAATGTTTTGCAAAGGAACTTAGGAAAGAGCCAAGCATTAGGACAGGATGCCAGAAGCATAATTAGATGACTGTATGCAGATATTTAGACCTCACACAACCTCACAGCAACACCATACCTAACCTGCTGTAATAACAAGTGCTTAAAAATGCTTTGAGTTCTTTATCCACGCAGTGTCACAAAGGCAAACGCCTGAATGCAGCACCAAAGCCTCTTCTGCAGGATTTGGACTCTCTCACGTCTTTGTTCTTATGGTAATTTACCAAAATCAGTCACAAACTCACACTGAGTGCTGATGACGGGATAAGTAGGTGTGTGTCTGCGTGCGCGCATAACGCATGTGTTTATTTCCAAATGTTCCCAAACGCTCATATACGCTACCGTTGCTCGAGCAATCAACCTCTGTGCGAGCCTGATTGAATAATAAATTACCCCCATCAATGCATCATTACGTTCAGTTAGATTAAGCTCCTCAAAATATTTACCCATGCAAAACAATCCAAGAAGATTAGACTATCACTTTAAATTGTCACTCTCTGTGGCACGCAATCATGACTGAGCGTGGAGGGGCAGATGGAGCAGGAGAGGAAAGTTTAGCTCCATTGTCCCGTTTTCATGCAGAATCGCCCAAAACACGGGCATGTCGGTGATTGGATGCTGCGTAACATGAGTCTTGTGGATTTGGTATATTTAAGCCTCTTTCACAGTCTGGAGGGACCAACAATAGCGTTGTGGATTTTGTAGAACCACCTTTCACTGCAATTAAAGTTGACTGTCAGTTGGGTTATGTTGCTACCAACTTTGAAGCAGTCTGCCAAATCGTTTGTGTTCAGTCCAATCACACAACACATTGCAGAGCTTTTCAGGCCTGGTGTTGAAAACGGGAGGAAGACAACATGGTGTCATTTTTGTGATGCAATTTCCTCAATAGAACCCAATTTCGACTCTTCAGATAAAGTTTGGGAGAACCTTTACAGGTTTCTTAATAAGATCCTCCTGTATTTAGCTCCCCATCAACTCTAAGCAGTTTCCCTGTTTCTCTTGGTAACACAATGTATTATTCTGTTGCCAGCAACTTCAGTTTCTTTACCTTGTTTCACATGGAAAATTTAAGGGAGCGTTTGTAAGGCTTCCTTTCAGGAAGTCCATTCTTCATACCGCTCTTCCATAAAGGTGTCTCCAGACAAGTCTTGGTCTATAATCTTGGTAGCGATGCAGTCGTTATGAATATTCTCTTTCTGTACAATTAAAGTTCTAAAATCTCCTACTTCTTAGCCTTCATTAGACAAAAACCTGTTCCACTGGCTTCTGAGAAGAAATAGAAAAGAAGTGAACCGCAAGGACACCGAGCTCCTCTGTGTCATTGAATCCGTGTGTCAGCACAAGTTTAAGTATGTGAGTCCACACATTCAGCCTCGTGTGAGTGAGAGCGAAGGTGGCTTTGGGTAAATGGAAGTGGAGGAGTGCCAGCCTTATATCTTCCTCCCACTTTAGGAAATGAAGGGCAGCAATGAATTGCTGGAAATGGATCCAGAGGAGAATGCGGGCGGTGTTAGATCAGAGGCCAAAGCAGCGCCGAGGCACTGCAGGTCAACAAGAGCCATTACAGCGCGTCCAACAAGTCGTCAATATCTCCAGCTCTGCCGCGGCTTCGCATTGTGCTGTTCGACAGCGACGCAGTTCACTCACCAGCAACAGGATGATGATAATGAAGGTGTGTGTTAAAACATCTGAAGGGAGAACAGCACTGATAAAACAGGGGGCTGGAGGGAGAAAAGTGTTCGGAACTCGACAATTAAGAGGTCGCGAGCGCTAATTAAAGCCAGTGAGCATTCATCTTGTGTGCTGCTGCACTAAATGCGTGCTACGCCCATCGCTATCAGCAGCTTACTGTTCGAAGCGCAGGTTGCGAATGTCTCCCTGATTAATCCTGACGATGCAGTCGTTTTCCTGGAAGAGATGCTCATGCTCAGCTTTTCCTCCGGGCTCCAAGCGCTTCACCAGCAAGCCCTGAGTCCTGCAAATGAGCACATTACAGATTAGTACCTAATGGATATCCTTTAAATATTAAGAGGGGGGAAAGAACTACGGAGATTATAAAATGCAAGTCAACAGATTTTGCAGCTGAATCAACCTATATCAGAGCAATCTTTGTGAATTATTATTATTATGAAACTTATCTTTAATGCCTGACTGAATTTTTTCCAAAGAACTTCAATGTATTTTGGGGGGAATTTTTTTGAGTGAGGGCTTTGAAATGAGTGAAGCATGCTAAATCAACATTTTGTAGCGCAATGTTTAGTTGTGAAAGTGGTTTCAGGTGTTCTGGGTTATGTCTGTAACATGATAGATTCAGGCCTTGAATTTTTCACCCCGTTTTCTCCAAACAAACAAACAAACATGCAAATCAGATTGAGAGTGTGTGCGTTTACATTCCGACACCTTCTCAATATAATGGCCTACATAATTTTTTACAAACATGATTTTGGTAAAAGTGTCACCACCTCTGTTTTGCAAAAATGTCAATCTGCATTAAGCCAAGAAAAACAAAAAAGACGATGTTCTGAAGGTGATGATCTTTAACACATATCTTACATATCTCTATGCTTAACCAATATGCTTAATAGTCAAAACTTTGCCCAATTTGCTCTCTGGTTGGACGTATCCCCTGCAGCGTCAAACAGGTTTTGTGTCACATAACTTCTAAAAAAAAAAAAGATTTTTTTTTTGTTGTTGTAATGGGACAAAATGAAAAACATAAGGGTTTTGAATATGTAAATAGACTAAAAGGATACTTTCATCCCTACTTGTTGATGGAAAAATTATACCTTTCCTATAAAAAGCAGAATTTTATTGAGATCTGGAAAAACGCTGCAGCTGGAACTTGATTCTCGGCTCCTGTCTGTCTTTTCCTTTGCCATTCTTTATATGTGTTCAGCTCTGAGAGAGTGACAGGCAGGTTTGTCTGAAATAATCCAAATCACAAACTAGGAGATGATCTTTGGCTTTGAGGGAAATGCTACAGCTTCCTTCCCTGGAGCTTAAAGGTAAGAACTCGCAGTGTGAACTAAATACCCAGAGAGTTTTACTGCAGTGCCATCTCAGCAATCCCTTAAAAAAATAGAGACCTTTACCTTCAAATACTTCCTCCTTTTATTGCTCTTGGAATAAATACATCCGTCTGCACCTTTGGGCTTTTTCTGGGCTTTACTGATAACTCCAGCTAATGTGAAATTGACTGGAAGGCCTGAGGTTCTTTTATCTTTGTTTTGTTCTGTTGATGTTTTTCGATTAAACCATAGATTGATAAAATACCAGGTGAAAAACAATGACGCATTCATCTAAAAAAAAAAAAAGAAATCAACTAACGCCGCTGTGAACCTTCGGACGATTCGGCATTGTTTCAGTTGTGGTTCACTGTGGACGTCAAGTGTAGATTTAAAGAGCTCTTTAGCATTTGAGTCAAACAGGACCACTTTCAGAACATTACAGTAATTGGCTGCATAATGTGGACATCCACACTCACACCACGGACTCGTCTCAGATGATCAGCAGGGGGTAAACGGTTCAGCCATAAATTGAAACGAGGATCAACCAATGAATCCCTTTCTCTCCCCCCACCATCGCCATCTTAGCCTTAAGATGCCACATCATCTTAAGGCTGCTGCGCTCGGAGTAATTGCGGGAACCGTTGAGGCGGAGATGACATTGCTTTTTTTCCAAGCTGTCGGCTTGGAAACAAAAGAGTTACCCTGTAGAGATTACAGCGTGGACGCACTCAAGATGACTGTTGATCTGCTAACAGGGAGTTTTAAGTCGATCGGCAATCGGTATTCAAAGCTGCAGCAGGCGACGGCGGGGATAAAGCAGCATCTTGTAGAGATTTATGGAAGATGATTTCATGTAAGCACTGCCATTGTGTCGACTGTAACGCAGAATGTGCATTGTAGCAATTCCTCCATATCTCTTGGGTTTTTTCATAATCTCATCAGTGATTTTCAGACACTTTCCAAGTAAATTTGAACAAAGTCTTAGAAGCGCAAGCTGTTTCCACTGAAAATCTCGACTTAAAATATCTCAATCTGCATCAAAGGTCTGTGCTAGAAGGCCAAGTTTTCCTATTGGCGTCTCTTACTAATCTCCAATGATGTGCGTACATTGTGCTACTGCGAGGCACCACTTCCAAGACAATATGAATCTGTATCTAACGACAGCAGCAACTCACGTTTCACATCGTCTCGCGGATCGGCAGTAATCTGAAGGAGGCCACCTGCTCTCATCAACTGCCGTTAATCGAATAATGCTCCAATCAAGATTATTTCTGCACGGCAATTATGTCCTCTATTTGTTTACAATCGAAACTGGTCATGGAATTAGAAGTTCATTAGGCACAAAATTCGTCTGGAAGAGACGAGCGGGTTTGTGTAAAGTGTGTGAATGTCTTGACGGCTTGCATGGGGAAAGACAGACGGCTCGATTCCGTGTGGGGAAGACAGGCCCACAGGCCCATATTTCTCACAAAGTGATTGGATGTAAGTTCATTTTCAGGTGAGGATCGGTGCATCTGGATGTGCGTGTATGAGAGAGATACTGTCAGCTGGAGTGACAGAGACTCTAAGCTCTCTCCTGCAGCTGTCTCCTCTCCACCCACCACCCCGGATCTCGTTTTATGTCAGTGCAGTGGAGCAGAATGTGGACAGTCGACGCTGGAGTGCCCACAGTTCCTTGTTTGTTGCCTGTCTGTTTTTTTTCCTTTCTCTTTTTTTCCCCCTGCTTGCTGTCTGACCCCTCTGGCCCTGGTCTAGACACTAATGACAGCCCACTGAGCTTAATGCCTTCTGTCCTAGCATTCAGCAAACAGGAAAGAACTGGGCCAGCCCATTAGCATCAACCCACTGGCTAGACGAAAGTCTTATTATGGCTGAAATTAATTGAAGTCTGTGGTGGCTATTAGTATCAAGCTAAAGCTGATGGAAAGGAGACCAATACAATGACTTTACTGGAATAAAAGGGCAGCATTGAGGAATAATTAGTCTGTCAAGGTGGATATGGACTTTATTCAAGCAATATAACTCACAATTTTGAACGCTTCTATTTCTAAATGCAGGTTATCCGCCCTTTCTGGCCGAGAAAAACTCAGAGTGTTAGAACTGCGGGGTGAATTAGCAAGAAGTCAGAGCTAAATATAGCTTTCTGACACATGCTAATAAACACCAACAAGATTACTGTCTCCAGTGCTCAATGACAGCCAATGTCTCCACCCCTTTAAATGTCCTCCCAGTTCTTCCCCATGCCCTGTCTTTGCCCCTCGTCCTTCTTCCCCAGTGCTGAGTGGCCACATTCACCTTGGAGGTGGGCCAGTCGGTTGGCATTCAGCAGGGGTCTGTGTTTTACACAGGCTTTTAGTTTGATTAGATCTGAACACTTTCTTGTGTCCTTTAGATGTTTGTTTTTTTTTTTTTTTTTTAGGAAAAACCATAAACTGAAATTCATTCCTTTTCTTCCCCGCTCTTTCTATAAGCAACACTCATCAGTTAAAAGTTAAGTAAAAGAAAATGGCCAGAATCACGTTTGATGCAGTTGTGACGGGAAACGAGGGGTTTTAAAATACGACTTTTGATAACATCAGAAAGTTGCAGTGATAAAAATAAACCTGCTTGCACTTTATTTGTTTATTTAGTCCTGCACTTTTAGACTTGTCAAACTAAATGAGTTCATTCGTTTTTTTATTTGATTTATTATTTTTCTATTTTCTTACCAAAATTGGTCTTCAGTATTTGTCTTAATCATCCCTTTTTTGAAAGACAATTTTGTTTACTGAGATTTTATAATTAATTGTTTTTATTGTTTTAGTTGTCTTGTAAATTTTCTCTACGATAATTATTAGCTAAATAAATTGGGAAGGAATTGAAACATTGCTTACACTCTCAGTTTCAAGCAATCGAAATGTTGTGGTGAGTAAATCTTCGTCAGTGCAGACAGGGTTGGGGTTAATCTGCACAATGTAGCATGAGATTATTTCATGGTGTTTTGAAATAATCTCATGGTCTCATGAAATAATTACTGAAATATCTGATTAGCAGTAGCATAATTTCCATTGTAATAAATGTTTCAATATTTCTAAAAGTGTTTTTACTGAAGATCAAACTTCATCTCAGAAACTTTCTAAAAAATATTGGCCTTAGTAATATTTGGCCAAAAGTGATTTTGTTTTTTGTTTTGTTTTTTTGCCACAGTGTGACAGGGACACACTTGTTGTGAATAGAAGCAGTGAATTCTAAACCTGCTATGTCAATCTGTACATACTATACACGAATATATGTAAATATTTATATATTTATGCAACTTTATAATAATTACCAAAATAAATCTTTTGTCAATGTGAGACTAAAATAAAACCTGATTCTGATTCCAATAGCATTGATAAGCATGAACATGTTGTTTTCACAGAGACTTGCCCTTGAATTAACATACAAAGGATACATTGACTAAGAAATTCAATAAAAACAGATGAAAAGAAAAACAGGCAATGAATGAATTAATGAAAAAAAAATATTAAAATATGTGTTTTTTTTTTTTATTTACCTAACATCATGTGAACTGAAAGAAACTACGTGTATCCCCAGGGGCCCTCCTTCGTTGGACACTTCGACCGGCTTGAGCATGCTTCTGCAGGACGTTGACAGATGACAAGAACAAACAGGGAGGAGGAGACATGCATGAATACAAATAATAAATATGACAAAGGCACGTAAAAAAAAAAAATGCGGTGTGTAAAAGGGAAATACAGTCCAACACGACAAAAGCTTGATGGCAGTGTCGAGGATGGAAAATTGCTCTGCTTTGTTGGTCGGACCTGTATTGTGTTGCCTATACAAAGTCATCCATTACAAAGTCTGACAAGTGGACCTCGGGGTCAATTAGAGATCCAAATGGAGACTCCAATTAAGTGATTAAGATCAGACTGCTAAGAGAGAGCGGATTAATTGAAAACATGTAAGGGAAGGGAGGACGGGTTGGAGGAGAAGGTTAATTTGAGCAGATAAAGACGTGAAGACAAATGAACATGAGCCACCATCAATGCAGATCGGTAGGATGCATCTCATGAAAGAACACCTTGGCATTTGATGTGTGCTGAAGTAGTCTTCTCACCCCCAAATTAAATGGTGCACTTTTCCACCTCGCACCAAATAAAGAAGTCGTGCAAAGTGTTGTAAGTCTTCACACCCTTTCATTATTTTTTTCACATTTTGTCACTCCACAAGCACAAACTGCATTGACCTACGATGTCTGAGAAGTTAGTTTTTAGACTTAGAGTCAAGAAGTTGCAGTACAGTCACTTATTGTAATTGCAGCTTCAAGTCTTGATTATGTCTCAATCAGCTTTGCACATGTAGACATTTAAAATTATACTCATTTTTATTCATGTCTGTACTTTGACTAGGCTATTGAAAAGAAAAATAAGGATGCTTTGATCTAAGCCATTCTATCACAGCTACAGCTTTATTATTAGGGTTACTCTGGAAGCCATTTCAGCTTCTGCAGTTTTTGTGTCCTATTTCCATCCATCTTCCAATCAACAGCAAATGAGTTAGAACTTTTTGCTTCCTTTAGCCACTTTTCATAAATAAATAGTTGTCCTATTGATAGATATTCCCAACGGTGGATATCTGATACTCATCCAGAGTTACTATGGACGTACATGCTGCTTCTCAGTTTAGGTGGACGGCCATGTCTTAGTAAATATGTAGTTGTGCCGCACTGTGCTCATTTTGGAAGGTAGATTTAACAACGCTCAGTGATGAGCACTGAAAAATATACATCATTTTCCTTCGACTGCACAAATACACACTTTATGTTAGTCCATTACTAAATAATTTTCTAGGACATATGAATGTGTGGCTACAATGTAGCAAAATGTGAAAAGAAACTAAGAGGTATAGGTTCATTTTCAACAGTTTACCTCATATCATGTCCACATATCTGTGAAGCTTGGAAAACAGGAGCCTCATACTACTAAAACTGTAAGCCCAGTGTGGGGTGGGGTTTTGTCAGCAGGGCCACTCACTCAAGACTTGACACAGGTGAACGGTCCAGTGAAGAGTCGGCCCTCCCTACAGGTCCGATTCGCTCAATCCTCCTTTCATATTTTCTTTGCTCTGCTTCTTCTTCCTCCTAAAGAAAACAAAAAGGGAAAAAATATATTAAAACACCATCTCTGCGGTGCCTTTAACGTCTAATGTCTGCAATGTCTCTAGAAAATTAGTGCCTACGTGCTAAATCTGTTAAAGTTCAGCGCATATTGACAGTTCTCCAGTATAACCAGTTATAAAAGCCACCATTAACTGCAGCAGTACAAACCAGAACTGCTCAGGTTTGATCAGTTACATTTGACCTGTGGAGTGGCACCGATACCAGTCGCTAAAGTGATTCAATGAAGGTCTAGAGCCAAAGGAAAGTGTTGTTGACCGTTTCTCTCGAGCTCGCCGTTCCTCGTTCCTCCTCCTTCAGGGCCATTAGGCAGGCAGTGGCTTTTCCAGGCAGGCCAGACATCTGAGGACTTAACTAGGATAAGGCGACAGCTTCATGCTCCCCTAATGAGGGATAAAAATCTTCATTTAAGTTCTCTTTATGGGGAGGCTACCAATTGAGCCTTGCACTCGCGCGTGGTTGTGTGAGTTGTCATCTTCCACGCAACAGAACCGGAAGAAGCATCAAATAACAGAGTTTGTTTCCACTAACCAGCTGCTGAATCTCTCATCAACAGCTAACAAGCACGCTGTGCAGCACAGTTTCTTCCTTTTAATTTCACTTTCTGCCTCCAGCTGGGTTAGGGACTGTGGATAGTTGAGTGTGTGTGAGCAGCATCCGGAGAGTGGGTTGTCTCCTTGGGGTCGGGGGAGACGCTTTGTTAGTCACTCCAATTTGCCCACCCTCACCCTTCACCTTTCCCTCCCCCTTCCCCCCCAATCTCTCTTTTACTGAAATGTCAAGCAGATCCAAATAGGTCCGGCGCCTTTCTGCTTTCTTTATGGAAATAGATTCAACCCTTTTCATTGACCAGGATATCTTAGAAGACACTCATAGGTGTCACAGTGAGACTCTGTCTTCCATTTATTTATTACAGTCTGCTGGTGAGAAGAAAGGAGAGTGCATGAAAATTTCATCACCTTAAAAGACGTCGTCTACAGCCCCTGACTACCTCCTTTCTCTAACCATCCGATATGAAAATGAGTCAGTCAGCCGGTGACCCCTGCCTTTAATTACATGTCAGCTAAGGTTGCGGGTGTCTCAAAGGGCCTGTTATCCACAAAGCTTTTTTTTTTTATTTTTATGAAAATACCCCTCACCCCCAGGCGAAGGGATAGATTTCATTTTTTTTCTTCCTCAAAGTAAACTTCTTATACCATCTTTAGTAATTCATACATAAATATGGGAGGAGAGAGACTCAAAAGCCTCCTACAAAAGAATAAATACAGCATGAATAGTGCATAAAGTAAAAAGAAAAAGAGGTAAAAGAGCAGAGTGTGAAAACTGATTCTTTTACTTTTGTGGAAAAAAAAAACTGAATTACATAAAAACACAGTAAATAGTTTGCCGTTTCAGGGCAGACAAAGCCAAGCTGAATTGCAGGGCACACGTAATTACTTCATTGCAACATGTTGCATCAATTTTGTAGCTGCTAGTTTACGAGAACACGTTGCAAGTGTTTATGACTGGGCTTTTTTTCTGCACAAATGCAAGAAAGAAACAAAAACCAAAAAAAACAACAACTAGAAAAGTGCAATGACAAACAGTGGGGTCGGGGTTAGATGGTTTTCAGAATTCCACTCCATAGTTATTCCCTTCTTTGTGTTTGCATGTCGTATCCACAAACTACAAATGTGACCCACTTCAGATATTTTTGAGACCTATATTAAACTTATATATTATCTTTGTATTCATAAATTCTCCACACATAAATTGTCTGATAGTGGTCGTGTTTATTTAATGAACCAGAAAAATAAATAAATAAAAATTAAGAAGCGACCACACAAATCAGTTAACTAGATTTTAGTAAACCCAACTTGTGTTGGCTATAAATCTTAATAAATGGAACAAAATACATGCTCTTTAAAATAGCTGCAGAACTCCTCCTACTAAAACCAATATTGCAGAAGCCATATTATTTGTGATCAGGGGAGTGGCAGGCAATTTATATCTGGAGCCAAACCCCCCCTACTGACTGTCCTTGAGTCAGTGGCAAAGTTCAGCCCTGAGTGACAGAAGAGGAAAGACACAAGCTAAATACACATCTCCCTCCCAATTTATTCCCACTTTATGCTCTCTTTCTTCATCTCCCCATCGCTCTGAATCCCCTCTTCCATCCCCCCGTCTCTAAAATCCATCCACTTCCTCCTCCCCTGAGTGCTTTTAGCACCCTGTTGATCCTTTGGTAACCAGTGAAGTGGGGATGCAACAAGGCTTTTCAACTCTCCTGCTGCTCTTTCCCTAGCTTGCCCTCTTGCTGCGTCCATCTATTGCTCCTCCAATTTTTTCCTCTCTCTCTCCTACTCTCATGAAGATTCTGAAGATTCAGATCCTGGAAGGTGGAAGGAAATGTATCCTTCCAAATGGCATTTAGAACTTCACTACGGCATATCACAAGGTTAATGAATTTACCTGTGGGTGCCACTGTCATTTGGAAAGATTGACAAAAAGAAGCGACAACGAAGCGACAACAAAGCGACGTACAAGATATGATACACGGTTTAATGAATCTTCTAACACCAAATCTCTGTGAAAACAAAGGTTCTGTTTATCAACATAACATGGAATAATCCAACCTGCCACTAAAAGAGAATTTACTTTTCTTCAGCTGGTGGACAGTTGGTGATATAATATGAAAAAAATAAATTAATAAAATGGGATGGTGACCTTACAAGAAAGTATTGTGTGTAGTGATGATGCCACAGGACACTGTGAATTCCACAACATTGTCAATATTCGTAGATTATGCTGAATCGGGGCACGTGTTGCAAATACGTCATAGGACAAAGATTAGATTTTCTTCATTTCCACTAATACTAAAGTATAACTAATGGTTGACTTTTTTTTTTTTACCATAACACAAGTAAACAAAACAGCATGGGAAACTGTGGTTGCATTTCTGTTGCATTAGATTTTTGTTATTTTATTGATGTCAAAAAGACCATTTTTGAGGTGTTAACATTAAATAAGAAATCACACGGAAGTCAGCTTGTTGGTGCAATAAATTATTAAAAATAATGGCAACGATGGATGTAAAGGTTACATGTTTAATGTTCGTAGCCATGGTGCTAGCGCTCATCATCTATCAGCCATGAGAGGAGACATCCGTGTTGGGAGTGGCTACATATGCAGCGTTTTGGGGGGAAATTGTAGCCGATGATTTTACTAAAGAAATGTGGATTCAACACGTTTGAATGACACAACGCTTAGGAAGTATGTGATGTTGTGAGCTCTGGTGGAGCCAGCTACACATTGTCCACATAAAATAAAACATCTTCCTACTACCACTTTGTTGTCTTCGCCAGTAGTAACGTCCGGCTGTGGATCATTTGACTTGTGCTAGGTGGAAAAAAGGTTTCCATTCCACTTGTTACCTCAGCCAAGTAAAAAAAGTACTGCTTTCACAATTGCCGTGTTTCCATGAAGCAAATTTATTTTTGTAATTTCAATTAGCTCAATTCTACAGCTAAAGGAAACGCAACTTGTGACAGTAGTTTTAGCTGGTTGAGCCTCATTTCTCTCTTTATATTTGTACATGACTGTCTGTACATCGGGAATGACTAGAAGGTTGTGCAAGAAGCATCAGATACTTGTACAGAAACTTATGCTCACATGTAGCCTTTATCACGAAGGAAGCCAAAAAAAAAAAAAAAAAAGAATTAAATCAACCATGAACAATGTTGACATTAACAGTTGGTTTTCAGATTTTATTTTTTTTTCACATGCAATATTAGAAAAAACAGACAAAGAGAAACTGCAGCCATATAAAGGAGAAGCAGCTACTAAGTGCTGAATCTTGTTACCTTCAAATAAACCGGCAGGTTAGAGACTGTTGAGGGAACTAAAAGGAACGGAGAGAGGTAGCAGCTGTTTGGTTCGGAGACTGGGGAGATACTCTACACACGCGCGCACACACACACACACACACACACACACACACACAGCTTTTAAAGGCTGGGGTGAAAAGCAGTGTGTTGAGGAGCTGTCATTCCCCATCACCAACTACCCCTTTAAAGTCCTACTGTAATGTGTGTGTGTACATGCGCGTGTGTGTGCGCTCATAGGCAGGTACAACATGTAACTGTGGGGAGAAATAGGTGGAGGGGAAAGGAGGGTTTCTCCTGAGCCCATCTTTGACGTCTGAGGCTAACAAGGACAGGTTCAAAGGTCAGACTGAATAGTGTTGTTGGGCTCCAATCTGGGGCCCACATCTCTGTGACAGCTTTATATGTGGAACAGACATTTCCCCCCATACACAACAACGAGTGCTTTGTTTCCACAGTAATTTCTACCTGAGCTGAACATTTAATAATATCTCAACATGAAAAATAAGTCTCTTTTATTATTTACTTTTTGAGTAAGTCCAGAATGTTATTTGTCCCGTAAAAGTAAACAGACCCGCATTTATGAAAGCAGACGTCTGAACTGCTTACATTAAGGGATGCTAATTATGGAAAAGAACGTACGCCCCTTACAGCAACATCCAACCAGCCAAAGGTAACAGTATTGTTGTTGTTTTTTTTCATTTTTGCTGGCAAGATTTTGTTTGCAGAGAGGCCAGGTCCAAGAAAAAGTGGACGCTAAGGTTCTACCTGTCGCTAAAAAAAGAAAGGTTGAGGAGCCTTAATTGCACCCCAATTACTTTTGCTAAATGCAGTTTAGCCGAACGCTGAACAACCTGCTGGACCAAATTGAAGTTCAGTGCAACGCTGCATTGCACAATGGCATTGCTATACAAAGACAAACCAGCGGTAATAACTCCTAATAGTACCATTAAAGTTCATTTGACCTTGAGACATTTACCAATGCTTTTCCATCTTAACCGGAGCCAGACGCTTACTGTTTTTACTCGGCTCTTAAAAGAAGCTTTATGGTGTTGTACAAAAAGCTTTCTTACCTTAATTTGATTCCTAATGGAGTTTTCA